TTTTAGTTAAGACATTCATGGTATAAATAAACTTAATGTAAAACATAGTTAAGAAGTCAGATAAAAAGACTTCAAATGATTAGAAGTGAGATAAAATTACTTTTCAAACTCAGGGATTTCCAGCCGTTTTGTATCTTAAAGCACATTCCAGAATACCGAAGGGCACATTTATTTTTTCAAGGTGATTTTATAAGCTGATATTGTTAACGCATAATAATAATACACTGGTTATCATAAATTAAGGAAAAATCACAAAAATAGCGATAAGTCCCTCAAAAATAAGCCAAACCGTGTAAAATTTGAATATGTTAGCAAGTAAGAGTAGCTGAATAAAATTGCAATATGCAAATTAGTGGCGCTGCAATCGGAATACATCATTTGCGAGGAGCATAAAAGTCCATGTTTGAGAGCAAGCCCACATATTTCACTGTGATAGTGACATCAGAAATCTGAGATAGCCAATTCGTAACACTGACCTCCAGGCATCATTTGCTTGCAAAACTACGATGGAGAGCCATTGGGAGACTAGAGGCAGGACAAAGTCAAACAGAAGTGGCCAGATGGTTAATGTGTGTCCTTCTGTGGTTCATAGACTTTGGAGGTGATTTTAAACCACAGATTCAGCATCTAGGAGGTTCAGCCAAGGACGGCCAACTGCTAAGACGAGCACCAATGGCCCATATTTGACATTATGTGCACGCAGGAATAGAACCGCTACTCCGACTCTTCTTAGATCCTCCCTTGCTGCAGGCACTGGAAGGTTACTGTCAACGTAAACTGTGCGTAGAAGGCTTCACGAAGGTGGTCTGTATGCGAGACGACCAGCCATTTGCATGCCGCTCACGTCATGCCATAGGAGGGAGCGTTTGCAGTAGGCGCGAAAACATGTCCACTGGATGCCTTATCAGGATCAATGTTCCGTCTTACCTTCTTCGGGAACATGCAAGGACCTGACTCGGAACAGAGAGCTTACTAAAGCTATGTTCAATAACTGTGGGAAGTAGACAGGATACACAAGAAGGGTATACAAAACCCTTTATTTTTTTCTCTAGTTACAATAACTTCCGTACTTCGGAATACACAGACCCTCACACTTGTGGTCTAACGTAAAAAAAAAAAAAAAAAAAAAAAAAAAAAAAAAAAAAAAATAAAACTAAATTCTAATTTAACTTTAAAATAATAAACATGGAAGATTGGCCTTATATTAACAGGAAGCGTATGTAGTACAGAGAACTGTGAACACTACAATACGTTTAAATTTATCAAGAGGATTAAAACCTCCGGCCTGGAAGGCAACCAGCAACTGCGTAAAACTTCTAAGGTAAGCGGCCTGCTTCGACTCATTGCTTCCTCTCTCTCGTTTGGCAAAAAGCCACAACTTAAGTACTTGGCGTTCGCCAGACAAACTTTGCATAAGTACTTTAACGCTTATACTTCTGGCCGGAAGTAGAAAATAAGAAGTGATAGTAAAGATTTAAAATAAAATAAACGTTAGTAAAACTTAAGATCCTTACAGCCTGATCAATGGAGAGCTATTCTCTTTACGGATGAGTCCAGGTTTAGTCTAGAAAGCGATAGTAGGCGTTATTTGATATGTAGAGAATTTGGAACACGTTATCATCCGTCAAACTTCCGTGAAAGAGATACAAAACGGAAGAGGCAGTGTCTGTGTTTGGGGTGGCATCTCTTTGGGTGGACGCACAAACTTCGATGTCTTTCCAAGGGAAACCGTGAATACTCTGGTTTATAGAGATGACATCCTTGATGTTTATGTGCGTCCATATGCCGGGAGAATAGGGGATGCTTTCCTGTTACAGGACGACAACGCAAGATACACAGGCACAGGGCTCGCATCGTAGATGATTATCTTCAACAGGAAACAATTATGAGCATGGAGTGACCAGCTCGATCCCCGGACTTGAATACTATTGATCACGTTTGGGATGCTTTAGGGAGACATCTAGCTGCTCTCAATCCGCCCCATCAGACTCTCTCCGCGCTTGCAACTGCTTTGGAAGAGCAATGGCTCTCGCTTCCTATGGAACTGATAGAGCGTATAAATGAAAGCATCACACATCGCTGTATTTTCTTTAGAGGCGACCATATTCCACATTGAAGGTACTTTTCCTATAGCAAACTGACACCTTCAATTTGTTCATTTTATACATGTGCTAATTTCTATACTACCATATTTGTCTGGTAACTAATTTTTATGTTATTTGATACCTTACTATGTGTTGTATATTGTGGGTACGTTTCATAAAATGTAACTTTTTCAGTAATCGTGATTTTTCCTTAAGTTATGATAACCAGTGTAATAATAATATCCCAGAAATATAATTTTAAGGTATAAAAGTTACTGATTGTTTCTTATGTAAAATAAATAACTACAAAATATTGCAGACAAAAGTTTACAAATTCATTAATATAACAATTCTTTACAAAAAATGTAATGATATTTGACATTGCTCCATAATTATGAAAGTATAATGATATCCCCGTTCGTAAGCAATCATCAAGATGGTCATCTGTAAATCGAGAACTGATTTCGTGATGTTCACTGTTGAAATAACGATTCATACAAGTATGTGGAACCAAATGACGATCAAAATCGTAAAAACAACCTTGTATTTAGCGTAAGTATAGTGAAACACTCAATCGATTTCGAGGGCAGCTAAAGGTGCCTCCTCATCAGGAGAAAGAAATACCTAGAAAGAAGATTATCCAAAAGGCTTCTTCCATAGGTGAATTGGATGTTCTTGAGGCTTTTCATATTCACAAAGATTTAGCATGTTTATTTAATGATTTTAAGTCCAATCCAGTCCTTCCTAATGCCTTTAAAATTCTACTATCTTAATTCAGTTACTATTTTTGCCGATAGATGGCGTTACCTCCTCGCGTTTGGTACTACCAGTGGGTATAAAAATCCGTTCAGTGTTGCTTTCCATTATTCGAAGTTCAGATTATGAGCGTGAAGGAGCAGTTGCCCCTCGCTCCCTATTTTTAACTTCGCCATTTTTCTTGTCCTTTGTGTTACATGTTTGATCAGATAGCCTGGCTCAGTAAAAGTAGGCGGCCAGTGTAACTCTGATTAAAAATCCGGTTATAACCACGTGCAGTGCTGATAAGGACCACGTGTTTCTGAGACTCCTTCCCCTTTATTTTTCTTCTTTCTAGGTATTTCTTTCTCCTGATGAGGAGGGACCTTTAGCTGCCCTCGAAATCAATTGAGTGTTTCAATATACTTACGCTAAATACAAGGTTGTTTTTTACGATTTTGATTGTTACATTAGCGTGTTTCTCCTCTAGTCTAGCCAAATGACAATTTTGTGTTGTATGATACTTCACACACGTATGTGGAACCAAATGACGATTTTAAGTTGTATGATTCTTTTTAAGAATGAAGAATTGTTTCTGCCAACTGTATTCCAGAAGTTCCCATCTGATACATAGATTTTAGAACAATATGATTTTGAAGACCCAAAATTTCTAACTTCCGCTCTTACTTGAATAAACTCCAATGTATGCAGCTATTTCGGTTACATTTACTAGGCAAGTACAAGTATTGGTTTTTCAGATTGGCCTTGAAGTAATTAAAGGTTGATAACAAGCGAAGACAAATCAATTTCAGCTTTGCCTATAATTTCTTTTTTCTTCCAGTATTTGTCAAATGCGCAAACGACTTCATTTGCAAATGTGATATACACAAAACCTGTTCAGCCTTAAACAACTTAACAGAACCTATCATATCATTAAAGTACAGTTTTCCGGGCAGCTCTAAGTTTAAATAATTCAGTTTTACAATTATGTTTGTAAGAAAACCTAAATCCACCAGCCAGCGAAAGTTCGTTAGTTTCGCAAAACTTTGATTTTTGGTTCCGAGCTAATTTTTTATTCCTTCAATAAAATTTACGAATCTTGCAAAAACATAACTGAAGCATGTAAGATAAAAATGTGTGAATCAAAATTATAATATAAACTAATGGTTATCCTTTAAATCTCACTCTCCGTTTTAAAAAACCTAATAACTTCTCTGGATTGCTCATTTGTAGATCAATCCATTTTGCATGGCCTGCGCACCGCCGATGACGTAATAATTGGGAGCTGAAACTTTTAACTCAAAACAAAACTTTTTTCTTCGTGTGCTTCCACATTGAATAACTACGATAGCTTCTGTCTGTGCAGTGCTTGTACGCACTTTAGCTGGGCTCGCGTCCTATCGCAATAATATCAAAACTGTAAATATTACCGAATAGGCACTAGAGTGCCAAGCAAACTGTGGCCACAAATGTCAGTTGTAAATAAAAATGGAATTAAAACTTCGACTGCCAAGTTTTTTAGATATTACGAAATCAACATATTAGCATATTATGCAATCAGAATTCTTCCTCTTCAATATGGATCTACAATCTATCCTATATAGCTATTACCCATCAATATTGCTCCGTCTTTTTCTTGTTTAAGTTACATATATGCATGTGTGATTCCATTCTGCACACCGAAATATGATATGCTCGCTCAGTATGCAGTATGAGATCATGATCTTCAGGATTTTCTATTAGCTTTGAAAAGCCGGTGTTGCAAAGTGGCTGTTCGAAGTTTTACTATTTTTGTATAGTTAATTTCATGACGTGTCCAAAGGGCGATTTTCTACCACACAAAGCTTTCTGGTGGATGATACAGTGATATGACATTAAGCTTGGAATTTCTTTTCTGCAGTAACTGCAGAAGGCAATAAATCAATTAATATTACTATTCATTGCTGGTACCCTACCAGTGGTTATCGCTTGTGCAGAGGCATATTTATCGATATTTCCATATGCCGTAAACATGGTGTATATATCCACATCTTTCGCGGGTAATATTTTCAGTAGGTCTTCTTTTACAATATTAAATACCATTCTTACCATAATTGCTGACTGTGAAGCGTGCGATATATATATATATATATATATATATATATATGTAGATTAGTTAAACAGTAGTGAGTCATATTTCCGAGTTACGCTTTAACTCAGTTTGCATGTCTTTTGCTTGTCACGGTGTTATCTGACAATTGCCGGTTTAGTATATTTGGCATAATCTCATGTTTATCAGAAAATCCCTCAACTGGTACCACTTAAAAATGCTTCTCTTGACAATTAACCATCATGGAAAGCTTTTTATTCTCAGTGAGAACTACTAGTAGCATTTTTACATTTTACCATAAGCTTAGCAAAAACTTTCTGTTAAACAACTTTACTTTGCTTTGATTTATTTATTTATTTTTTTCTTTCTTACTTCAGATTCAAGTGACTAAGTCGTATTAAATGAGGCATGAATTGTCTGAAAGTGACGTTCAGCATTATGTTTTTTCGCAACTGCACTGCTATTGCCGCACAATAAACAAACCCATATATCTTTAAGAGAATTGGCGAAGCAATATGATTCTTCCCAGTCAGTATTAACTTTATGGATTCTTTTTCTTTTACTTGAGTTACTCATTTTGGGATTAAAATAGCAAAGTATATAAAAACAATGAAGTAGAAGACACCAACAATAAAGAAAGAGACACGTATACAAAGAACATGGGCATATAACTAATAATAATTATAACATGGCATTTAGGAGAATACGCATTCAAAAGGGATTCCTCTTCGTAGGTGGCACCACAATGCACGAGTACAAGGAGGCATTTTAATGCGTAAAAGTTTTCTCTATTTAACTGCTATCTGTGAACAAATTTTGCATTTTATTGAAAACTTTTTTAATGATTTTTTTATCGTTATCGTTGAGCAGCAAGCACACGTAAAACCTTCGGCAGGCGCAATGTTGATCGCGGGGACAAGGTTGGGGATTTTGGATTAACTTATTGCAGGTCTCAATAACGCACTTTTATGATATCAAAGATAAATGAAAGATCTTATTCATTGCCACCGGCAACAACATATATTTATGTCAGAGGATATTTTATTGACATTCATACTGAATATTACTTCTTTGGGATAATCAATTCCATGGTACACCAAAGTTGCCTGGAACCATATTTTGGAGAAAGACGGTGTTTGAGGTTTATTGATATGTATATTATAAATATCACTTCACGGCAATTCTGAATGTCACATTCTTAATTTCCGCACAAAATTTAGCGTTCTATGTTTAGTATTCGTCTGTGTTATTAACTTCTGAAATAATACTTCGCCTCATTGCTTTAGTTAAAACCATTTTGGAAAAAAATGCTGAACTATATTTTGTCAAATTATGTTGATAATATGAACCTCAAGTCTTGAGAATTTTTATTACGCACTTCATTTACTAAATTTCATTTGAATCGTCGTAATAAAGATAGGCGCAATTTCAAAAACTACATACATTATTAAATTTCCTTCTTATTAAATGCAGCTTCCAAATTTTGCTTTAATTAAAAACATTTAAAATATTATTCTTACCTGAAAAGCTCAGGTACCGTTATCGGAAGGGGGGGTTAAATTCGGTCTTTAAAAAATGGAAACAAGATAACATTTCAACTTATTTTTGTCTTATTTAACTGGAAAGGAAAGCAAACAGTTCATTTAACAGGAATTCCGGATGTCCACAATCCAGATAATTGCAGTTCTACTAAACAAAATTTGACAAGGACATACGACAGTGGAAAGGTGTTGAAGCGACATCCATCGGTCATCCACAGATGTTTCTATGGTCGGTCGCTGCGTTTGCCAGTATTTAATTTACTTGCTTTACGTTTTTCACATTAACGCCGACCACATGCAAATCTGGCTATTCTAGAACGGTCTTCCTGTAAGACAGATGTTCCTTGGGACAAGCTTCGGCTGCCGCCCGGATGTTCGAATAAAAATTGAAAATGAAAAAAAAAAAAAAAAAAGTGACAAGCACCGCGGGCGAGAGTAAAGCTTGTTCTAATAGCATCTGTTTCGACGGATGGAAGCTGAAAATCGGAAACAATGGCCAGACAGAAAGGATACTCTTCATCCAGTTTCCGTTCTCCAAGTCACTTTCACCAGAATAATCTATATCGGTCAGAGGCGAAAAACATCTGCAATGAGATATAAACATTACAACAGTTGCTCAGACATTAATTTTTCTATTTTCATATATTACATTTTACAAAGTCAGGAAGGTTTTCTAAGGCTTTTATTACATAAATATACGGTAAAAACCGATGACAGTGAACTCTCTCCTAGCGATCACCTTCTTAAGACGGCCATTTCTAAGAGTGATTGTAATGTTAAGCGCCGGGAACAACATTCATTTCATAAATTAAATCTAAATAAAATGCATATATCAGCTTTTAATAATACATATATTTCAATATAAACAGATAAGGTTCTTAAAATGAAATAAAGTTCTGAATTATTAAGGAGTGCATTTATCTTTTAAATAGCTGAAGTTTGTTAAGTAATTACGATTAAATTTGAAAGATAAAAGTCTTACGCGTTGGCCCTAAGAAATGAGTATTTGCAAGACCGCGTAGAAGATGGATTTAATATCCAAACGTTATCTCAGAATTTCTTCTTCTTTCCTTTCTACGTCGCTTAATTGACGACGCTACAACTGTGTTCCGTTTATAACAATAATGTTTATTATTTATACTTATATTTAAACAAAAAAATCTGGCCAATTGGTACAGAATATATGACGTTATTTGAAGAAGAACTTTTGTAATTCACATTCGAAACACATACTTTCTGAAAAACTAACATTGAATTTTGCTTATTTTTTAAAATACATCAATATGTTAACAATGTAGAGTTATAAGGTTTATTTCGGAAGCAGGAGAGATGAAAAATATGCAAAGCCTTCGCCGGGAATCGAACCGCAGACCTCTGGATCACGCGCCCAGCGTGCAGACCACCACATCACGAAGACATGGCAAGAAGGCGGGAGAAATACCTTTTAACAGTACCATCATTTCCAGTTTTTCTAACTTCGATGTCAAGAACTGTGACCTTAACGATTTCGGTTCAACAGATGTATGACTGAGTTAAATTTCACCGAACAAAAAGAAACTAGCAAATTGGAAATAGAGTAGTTTCAAAACTTGCTTATATCGCAGTTTTCTAGCTTGTAAAGAGTTGACGGAAAATAATACACGAACTAGTAAAAATTTAAGGTTCTGAACGCTTAAGAGTCGTGAATGTTACGTGGGACGGAGCTAAAAACTGTAAGGCACACTAGCCAACTTGATAATTACACGCTCAGTAAGAAATTTTTGCAAAGAAATTTCGCAACCCGGAAACTAGGAAGTTTAGGAAGTTTCCCATAAGATCTAATCATAATTAATCTCAATCTCTTTCGAAGAGTTACCTAACTCCGTTACCAAGAGCTTTTGTTTTCCTTTAGACCTACGGCTAAAAGGAACATCTGAAAGGACAGACATATGAGTTGTAATGACCTAGAAACAGCTGGATGGCGGCGGCAAGGAAAACTGAAGAATTAAATACATCTGTTTCATTTAAATTGCTTATACCGTTGACTGACTTTTAGTGCGTTGCGTGTGGGCACGGAGGTGGCAAATTGAGAGTTCCATTAGGATTTCAAAGTCTCATTATTTTTGTTTGCTCTCCTCTAAAGTTGACGCTCTCAGCAGTAAACAATTGACCAAGAAACTTTCAAGCACGTTAAGCATTTTTAAAAGGTCCTTGCAAAACCTTCCCATATCTCTCCGGCCCTTTTTTTTTAATGGTTGATGTTTGATTTCATTCCAACCTGAATGTCTGAAAGAAATATAAGATTGTGCAACGACACAGATTTTCAGATTAAAAAAAAGTTTCCTTTCAAAAAAAAAATCGTAGTTGAGTTGTAAAAACGTAATGTATGTCTTTTTAACAACGACCTTTGACTCTGAACGATCATTTAACACTATTGAGCATGCAGCAAAAAAAAAAAAAAAAAAAAAGCTTTTAGATTACGCCCAAAGAAGCGAGCATTTTTTTTAACGTTTTGTGTGTTACCTTTATTTATGAAATATCATATTCTTCGTACTTAAATCACATAACATTTAATTCAACAGCAATATCACAAAATATTTAAAAAAGAGCATATCTTCAGAATTTCCGACAGACAGTCTGCGCACGCTGGAGACAAAAATGTTATTTTCCAATACAGTGTTGTTCACTGCTTGCTTTGAAATCGTTGAGTTTGTTAATCGAAAATTCGTTAAAGTTTTACAATTCGAAATTCGGGCGTACATGTGATGATGTTTGGGTGGAGGATTACGTTATTCAAAATTTGATAGCTGTAGGTACCGCCGTTTTTTTTTTACAATGCGAGAAACACGCATACATTCATGCAGATCCTTCAATATTTAATTTCTTTAATAAATAGAATACAGGGCTCTAATATTTGGCGGCAACAATTTGAAAAGTGACACGGACATTTACAGTGAAACAACACAAAAAGCTGTTCCAAAACTAATAGCCCTTCTGGACAACCGCCTCTTTGTGCTTAACCCAGCTATCAGTTCTGCGAAAATTTTAATCGCAGACGTTTGCTCTCTGCCTTGATGATGTTAACGCAGTAAAGCCCTATTAACAAAGTATTATTAATATATACACTGGTGTGCAAAAATTAAGGACGAAGTCGAAAAATTAGCATATCAGCTGAACGAAGAGGCAGAGCGGACAGAAAGACCAATCAGGAGATTAAGTAAGGTGATGTACGGTAGCACATGCGCAGATATGCAGGTAGACGTAATGGGGGAGTGTCTGAGTAGTATAAAGCATGTTGTCGCTGTAAGATCAGTATTTCTGGCAAAGAGATTGCACGCTGTATAGCAGTTAAAATCACACCGAGTAGCTGCCTCAGCGAGAAATGGCGAATAATCAATCTGTTAGACGACATCTGGATGCTTTTACCCGAGGTCAAATCACTGGGAAGTTGGAGGAAGGCCGCAGTGTGAAAAGTGTAGCTGCAGACCGGAATTGCTCACAGCATCGTTTCACGACTTTGGAGACAATTTCAAACTACAGGAACAGCTATCGGGGGGTTTAGTAGTGGTCGTCCACGAGGAACCACATTCGCAGATGACCGGTATACTGCCTTACAGGCCAGAAGAAACAGACGGCAGACAGCGGGAGAAATCGCTAGACACACGACACAGGCGACTGGACGACCGATATCGCGTTTTACCGTGGCCAGAAGACTGCACGGTGGTGGTCTGTTTGCACGACGCCCTGTACGGTGTGTACCTCTAACGCCTGCCCATCGGAGAAGACGTTCTCTGTGGTGCCGGGAACACCGGAATTGGAGAGACAATGAATGGGGACGATTACTCTTTACAGATGAGAGCGATTCAGTCTGAGTAGCGATCTCATCGCATACTCATCTGGAGAGAGCGGGGAAGCCGCAATCATCCCTCGAACATCATTGAAAGGGACAGGTATGGAGGTGGTGTGTGTTCTCGTTTAGGGAGGCATCATGCTTGGTAGTCGTACAGACCTTCACATCTTCGACGCAGTTCAGTCAACGGGACCCGTTATTGTAACGAGATTCTTATCCATATGTGCCTCTTTTTAGAGGCGCTATGGGTCCGCAGTTCCTTTTATGGACGACAATGCACCATGTCATCGCACAGTAGCTGCCGAACAGCTCTTAGAGAGTGAGGATATTGAACGTGTGGATTGGCCGTCACGATCTCCGGATCTCAATCCCATCGAGCATGTATGGGATTTTCTAGGCAGACGCTTGGCAGCTCGTACCTTACCACCAGTAACGATTCCGGAGCTTCGATTGGCGCTGCAAGACGAATGGGCAGCGATGCCTCAACAACTCATTGACACCCTCATTCTCAGCATGGGCAGACGTTGTGAAACGTGCCTGGCAGACATGGGGAGATCATATCCCCTATTAAAGACCGGATGTTTCTTGCTGGACACCCATCACAGGGATGTTTTGGCCTTCAGTCGCATTGCGCTCCATGCAACTTTTTCAATAAAGCTTCTTTTTATCCCTCTGATTTCTCTTTTAGTAAGTGTTGCTTACATTACTCATGTCCTTACGTATTGGGGATCTTACGGTATTAAATGTGTTGATTTGGAAAGCTTTTGTACAAAGTTATATTGAAAAAACCGTCTCGTCCTTAATTTTTGCACACCAGTGTAAGTGTGAAACTTGCCACAGTAATAGGCAGACCATTATATTTCATATGAAAGAAATGAACATTATTGTTTCTTAGTGTGATTTCTTAGTCTTAGAGCTGGAAGATTGGTTTATTAAGGCCATTTGGCTTTTTTTTATTACTTTTGTTGGCAACACAAATTTCATGCAGCTTTTTCAGTTTTTGTGCGACTTTTAATTTCATACCCTAAAATTAATTACACGAAGGGGGGGATGGAGACACGAGGACATAACAGATGAAAATTTGTTTACGTTACACAGTGCGATACTAATCTCCAAATTGAAGCACTTGCAAATTTGCAATTTTTTTAAACGCCAAAATACCCTTAACCCATGTGGCTAAAGTAAGAAGCAAATTTAAAATTTAGGACTGTCTTCTAACCTCCGAAGCGTCTAATGAGTTCCTTACAACAGTCCAAAAGGAAAAACCGTCATGATTACCCACAAGGATAAAGTACATAAAAGGGCACATGAGTATTATCCTACCAAATGAGTATTAACCGATTTTTGATGCCCCAAAAGTGTATATTTGGTGTATGAATCAAGCATTACACGAAATCTTCTTAGCGACCTGATAACTATAAGTGCGTTTGTTGTTGTTGTTGCATACGCCAACTTGTCTAACGTAGTCAGCCCAAGTCCAGGAACTTCCTTTGGGGCAAGTAGTGCAAGATTACGCCTGCCGTTGGCAACAGCCTTGAGCAGCCTAACAGCTGACAGTGCGATTTGGCTCATTTCCACTCCCATTTTTGATGGAGAGCACCCCGGGGGAACAGGTTCGAGGGTCAACCCTCTTTCTTTAGCCCTGGGGTCAACCACCTTTCTCCCCTTCCACCAAACCACAAGACAGGACTTCCGTCTCGCCCCATATTTAAAATGCCGCACCGACACTACATTTACAAACATCTATGCATTCTC